TGCTGAATTTCCAGGTATGACTGTTTGTTTAATGACCATTCAAAGTTACAAAGATACTGAAAAAGCGACTTATGATTGTTTTTTCACTCTTATGACTGTTGCAGCATCCTCATGATCACATGATCAGAGTTCAGATGCTTGGCAACTAGTTCATATTTTTGACAGTTGCAGCATCCGGGGGTCTTGTGATCACCTTTTGTTATCTTCTGACAAGCAAAGTCAATAGGGAAGCCAGAGTCACTTCACAAGTTCGTTACTAAATGAATAACTGCAGTGATTCACTTAACAACCGTGGTAAGAAAGGTCGTAAAATGGGGCAAATCTCACTTAACAAATGTCTCACTTAACAGCACAAATTTTGGGCTCAGTTATGTTCATAAGTTGAGGACTACCTGTACTTTGGACAGCTTATCTTTAACAGAGCCAGATAACATGACCCATAACAAAGGACTATAGGAGCTATAGACTAAAATAAGTGGAGGGCATAAGATTGTTCATCCACATGTCAGACAGTTAGACCATCGTCTAATCTAGGATAAACAGTGCCTTGCTGTTTATTGTATGAAGCCTCAGTAGACACAAAATTACTCCTTAATAATCATTATCCAGATCCCCAAGCTGCCATAGAAGGCTCATAGTTCCCCATAGCACAGATGCAACTTTTAAAACAAATTTGAGAAAGTTTTAATCGCTTTGGTACTGCTGTGCACGTTTTTGTAAGGAAATCCACTGATGAGGATCTAAAGGAAGTCTGTGACATACATTTTACCGCAAACAGTTCTGTGGCCAGTATGGTTTTATATCTCTAATCATGGGCAATGAAGAATGAGATATTGCACATGGTGCTATGACTCAGATAACAGGAAGCCCTGAAGCTCTGCATGAGGTTGGAATCTTGCCAACCAGCCAGCCTGTGACTGGTTCTGCGCTCTTTCTAAGTGTCAACGGAGAGGTAATATTTTAAAGAATTCATTTTGTCATTGTAGAAAGGCTTTCAGCATTTGGATAAGTTTGGAGCATGACTTAAACATAAGATCATTTTCAATACAGATAGTCCTCTGCTTATGACCACAATTGAGCCCAACATATCCATTGCTAAGTAAGACTGTTATTAAATGAGTTGTGTCCCATTTCATGACTTTTTGTGCCATGGTTGTTAAGTGAATCACTGTGGTTATAAGCGAATCTGGTTTCCCCCATTGACTTGGCTTGTTGAAAGTCATCTGATCGCATGACCCCAGGACATAGCAACCGTCAGACGGATGACGGTCAGTTGCCAAGCACCTGAACTTTAATCAAGTGGCCATGGGGATGCTGCAATGGTGATAAGTGTGAAAACTGGTCATGAGCCATTTTTTTCCAGTTGTAACCTCAAATGGTCACTAAATGAATGGTTGTAAATCGAGGATTACCTGTACAGTAATTATTTCCACAGTATAGTATACAATATTGAGTCCAGGGACACAACAAAGCGCGTAAAATATGAAGTGAAGGTACTGATAACCTTTCTCTGAAATTGATTGGAATGTGTATTGATGTAATACTGGTTATGATAGAAGACTAATGCAGGGATATAAAACTTAAGACTCCCTCAGCCAGGACCTTATGATCCTTTTGGATTACAATTCTTAAATAGTTTTTAGCTAGCATGACTATAAGGTCTCACCTCAAGAAAGTCAAACTCTTGAAACAAGCAGCATTTCAAAAGGATCTTTTATTGAGAGATAGTGATTGCAGAAAAGTCAGGCAGGATCTAAAACTCCTGCGCGAAAACATTAGGTTAAACCCCCGTTGTTGAACCCCCTCCCAACTGCCCAGTCCATCGAGAGCCAATCCAGAGGTGCAAAGGTGTCATGAGAACTCTGGGCTGAGAAGGTGATAAGAAGTTGTTCTCAGGTCCTGTGACCTTGGTTCTCTGGAGATGAGACAGAACAGATGGCCCCAGGCTCATCCCTCCCCCCTCCCATTCCCAGGATGATACATCAAAGCAGGAGAGGAGCAAAGTAAAATGGATACATCACAGAAAGTGATGGCAGCATCCTGATAGGGATCTATGGGGACCTGACAATGACTGTTTATTGGGGAAAGTATCATGCCCTAGTAACCAAGAAAGGAATGTAGAATTACTTCTGAGCAGGTTTCTTTATTGTTCCACACCTAAAGACAAAAAACTTGCCCAATTAATGCAACTACTTATATCATTAAAGATATACTCTGAGAATTGCTAGGGAGAATCTGTCTTAACTCTCTTTCTTCTATCCAAACTTTAAACTTTGCTGCCTCTTGGCCCTCTGGAATGCAGCCCCTCCCTCCTGGGAATCCAGACTACATTTCACAAAAAATTGCTGAACTTGCTGCATGCAGCTGCCACCTCATGCTTACGCCTCGCTACCACACGGTGCCAATCTGCCATGAACTGGAAAGGGGGGGGCTGGATGGGAGAGGGAGGCTTCGAGGGGAATGAAGAGTTCCCGGTATCTCCTGAGATAAGGCCTCAAGGTCATTTGGATGGGAACAGAACGCAGCTGCATACCATCCTACATTTGAAGTGACTGTTTTAAAAACACCTTTTTTGAATTTAATTGGACATGAGGGGGCTAGCAATGAGAGATACCTAAGAGAAGGAAAAGTTAGATTTTGGAATTTTGACACATAATTTTCAGTTCTGGCTTTGCGTTACTGTAATTCACTTGACTTCCAGTAAACCAGACATGTCAAACACAAGGCCTGGGGCCCGGATGCGGCCCGTGAAGTAGTTTCATGTGGCCCACGAAGCCATCCTGGAAACAGTGAGGGAACGACCCCCACTGCCTTGGCCTTGGCCCAGGCCAGCCGGGAGCCAATGTACAATTTTATGGTAGCCATCTTGGCATTTGCCCCGGTGGACCATGCCTTGGCACTTGCCCCGGTCCTACCCCCTTCTGCCAGAGACCCTCAGATCTGTCCCACTCCTGCCCAGGCCCCCATAGGCATCCTTGATGCGAATGATGTAGAACTGGCCACACCCCCCACTAGGCCACACCCATTCCATCCATGCCCACCCGTAGGCTGCACCCATTCTGGCCACACACCCTCGCCCTTCCCAGGGCAACTGCAATGCTGATGCGGCTCTCAGTGAAATTGAGTTTGACACCCCTGCAGTAAACTATACCTTAACTCCAACAAATGGAGTTAAGGATCATTCTTACTTAGAGGTTCAAGCTGAGGCACGTCTGACACTGCAATTGTTTCAGATTGCTGAACTTTCTATCATTATTTCTGAATTAATTAGTGGCATCTAGAAGCCATGATACAAAACGCGATAGAAAGGATTTTCTTTTTTCTTTTTAGTGCCTTCAAGATAGTCTGCAGATTTTTTGGCAAGATTTTGGAAGCGGTTTGCCATTAGTTCCTTCCTAGGGTTGAGAGAGAGTGACTGGCCCAAGGTCCCTCAGTTGACTTTGGGCCTAGAATTCATGGTCTCCCACTTTCTAGCCTGATGTCTTAACTAGATCATTTCCATGGTCCCATGATCAAAATTCAGAGGCAACTGACTAATATTTATGATGGTTGCAGTATTCCAGGATCATATGATCCTCTTTTGCGACCTTCTGACAAACTAAATCAGGGGTCTTCAAACTTGACCCTTTTATGACTTGTGGACTTCAACTCCCAGAATTCCTCAGCCAGGCAAGTTTGAAGGGCCAAGTTTGAAGACCCCTGGGCTAAATCAATGGGGAAGCCATATTCACTTAACAATCGGGTTACTAACAACTGCAATGATTCACTTAACAACTGTGGCAGAAAGATCATAAAATGGGGAAAAATCACTTAACAAATGTCTCACTTAGTAACAGAAATTTTGGGCTCAGTTGTGGTCATAAGCTGAGGACTACATGCATAAGCATCACAATAGAAAAATCCATTTTCCTCAAAATGTCTTCCAGAATTTAAATTAAAGAATACAAGGAGAACTGTATAACTTTGTCAAAAATTCACAGGAAGGGTTTTCCTTTAACCTTTCTTGTGCAGATTAAATGGCTGAAATCTCTGGAGATTGCCAACATCTTCTGAGTAACCTTGTACTAAATCACAACTATAAATAGCTACTTTTTAAAATTGGCTACTCTCGGAGAAATGTGGCCAGTTGTTTGACTCTGTCCAATTATATGACATCATATAATAATATCTGATGGAGGAAAAGTTTGCAAAACTCTGGATTAATCTAATTAGATCAGGAGAATTACCTCAGTCATTTGGTTGCTATTCCCCTTGGAAGAGATTTCTTCATTGGATTAGGTGAGCAAGGCTTGAGGTCCAAAACATACTCACTGAGAAACTTTATATATATGTAGAAGCCTCTTTAGATTTCCACCTTAAATTAAGGTCACAGTGGAGAAGTAAGGAATCTTACATGTGATCTTGTATGGGCAAGCATTTTAACAGGAAAATTATAAATCCATATAGAATTTTGTGCTCAGGACTTTAGCTCCCTCCCCCCCACCTGACATTGTACTAAGAAGTTGTCATTGAAAGTCTGCTCAGTACTTAGTACTTGAAAATGAGGACAATATTTTGACTAGTTAGCTAAATTAGCCTCTGTATAGCTCGGTTCATTATCCCACACTGAAGCTATTTTGTTTATATAAGACATTCAACTGCTGTAGTTCCTTGGATAAATTGGCCTATTATTTCAAAAATCAACTGCAGATAAGTTTTCTGGAAGTTATTTAACTATTTTCTCAGATAGGACAGGCCATGACAGTAATTATATCTTTTCTGGTTTTCTAGAAAATACTCAAAAGTTGTCTGATTCAGGAGTGCTCTGAAAAGAGATAAATAGATAAACAGCATAAAACCTTCTTTTTTGTGACGTTGGGGAAAAAAAAAGAGCAAGTGACATCACTGGATGGCAATTTCAAAAGCAGGCTGTCGGTTGGTCAGACCGACTGACTGCCAGCTTCAGGTTTTCCTGAAAGAAGTCTAGATTTCAACAAACAAAGAAAAGTAGACAGAGTATCATGAATAAGATCAAAACTGCCAACTTTAGTCCCATGAGGAAAAGGCAGAAAAGAATGCAAATTGAAGTTCCTCTGAGCAGCTACAAAATAGAGTTTAGGAACATCACAATTTTCATTGTGGAGAGGAAAATGGGAATGACCAGGAGAACTTTCCTGATGGATCTAGCAAGAAGAAAAGGCTTCCGAGTGGAAAACGAATTCAGGTATGAAAACGATTTGAATGGAGAATTGGGTTGAAAATTGGGTTGAAAAGTGTCAGTGCAAGTTTATGCCTATCAGTGAAGATAAGCGTGTCCAACAGGTTTGAAATAGATTGAGGACCAAAGGTATGGATACTCCTTGGAAACTTGGAGAGATGCCCCAGAGCTTCTCCAAAACATGACTCAGTCTAATAATCTTGAATGTGATAGGAAGAAAAATATTAAACAATCATATGGCCTGAAGCTCATTTAATTCTGTTAGTGTCTATTAAATGTCATGCCAAGTTCATTGGTGTGTGTGTGTGTGTGTGTGTGTGTGTATGAGAGCTTCTCCCAATATGATTCGGGGGTCAAGTGTGGCCCTCAGTTCCCCCAGGTGTGTGTGTATCTTGATTGTATAAAGTACTGGAAAGCATATATAGGTGTTTTCTGGAGAGTTTTAGACATGTACCACATTTGAAAGAGTGCTAGCAAAATAACAAAGCATCAAGCTTTAGTATGAAGAATTATTGTAACTTTAGAGCGAGTGGCTTGTCAAGCATCATTTATTTATGTCTAGCTTCATTTAGTGTTATAAAAATAGTTATTAATATACAACTGTATTTAGCACTACACCTATGGTAAATATCTATACCTTCAGAATGAGGTCCTCTTTGTTAAATAATTAATTCTGCATATAGGTTTAAGTTTAGGCATATTTTATTATGTGGTTCTCTCTGGCAATTATGGAATGAGATTTTAGTGTTGTGATATTTCTGTACATTTTGCAGTGCTCTGATTTCAGCGCCCTGTTTCAAACTAATGTGGGTGTTCTATAAATAGGAAGGTTTCTATAAGTGAGCCATCCTTACTATTTCAATAGAGAAGATGTGTAAAGGAGCTAAATATGTTATGGTACCATTTCAGCAGGCAATTACTAATTGCAGATTTTTAATAGGTATTGCTTAGGAGGGAAAATCTGACTGGAAATCCTACTCTGAAGGAATTAGTGGGCTTTCCCACAATTGTATCTGCCACTGCAACCACTTTCCAAGACAGAAGCATACTATTTTTCTTTTCTCAGAAGAGCGCATTAATATGGAGGAACATAAGACTGTGGCTGGGTAGAGGGTTATGCTGCCAGAGAGGGCAGGTTTGAAATTTTGGGACAATTTTGGAGAAGGCGGGAGAAAGTTCTTCCAATGCATAAGAGATTCATTAATCCTGCAGAGGTCTAATGTATCAGTTTAGGTGAAGACTCTCTCAAGTCAACTTGATGAGTATTATCAGCTCCCCTAGGTTGACCAGACCAGCAAATCAACTCTATGGGAAGGCTAAAACCATTTTTATTGAGATTGGCTATAATGAAGTAAACTTGCAAGTCTGATTCTGCTGTATCTCCTCCCCAGTTTTGCTGATCCACCTCTGAATATCATCTAGACCAGTGATGGCAAATCTTTTAGAGACCGAGTGCCCAAACTGCAACTTATTTGTTGCCTGATGCCAGGTGGGCGTGGCCCATTGAGTGGGCATGGCTATAGTCATGGCAGACTGGGTGTGGCAAAGGTGGGCGTGGTCACCTTGATGTTGCTCGAGAGGGACGCCTGGGGGGGGCTGGGCAGGGCTGGGGGAGATCCAGGGGTCTCTGGCAGGTGGGGCGGTGGGCAGGATGTTCGTCCTGAGGGGTGAGGGGAGGCAAGGTGAGGCAGGGTGGGGGTGCCATTATCCGAGGGCAAGGCGAGGCAGGGGCCGGGGTGGCTGCTGCCTGACACCATCAGCCCCCCCCACGCAGATGCCAGCAAGAGCATAGGGGCCAACAGTGTCCGTCAGCAGCCACAGGCTGCTGGCCCCTTGACTGGCGCACTCTGGGGCTCTGCAGCCCGCCACCAACAGTTCAGAGATGCCATTTCTGAGCTGGACGGCTGGCTGACAGCTGAGGAGGTGATGCAGTGGTTTGTGCCTGGGAAAAGGAGAGCATGCGAGGCCAGGAGGGACGGGGGGAGGGAAACCAGCCGTGCTAGGATGCATCCAGCCACGTGGGATCTCAGTGAGTTAGTGGGTGGCTGGTTGAAGAGGGATAGTTGCCATCTTCGGGGCATGGCGCGTGTGCCCACAGAGGGGGCTCTGAGTGCCACCTCTGGCACATTTGCCATAGGTTCACCACCACTTATCTAGACATTCTGGACTTTAAAAAGCTTTAGTCCCTTTGAATAGTTATGGAGCCTGCATACCTTTACCAAAGCCATCTCCCTTATTCCCAAAAACTAGTTAGACACATCCATGTCATATTTTGGGGCCACAACATGGAAATGGGTTGCCATTGCTTTTCTCCAGGATGTTGTTTTCAACTTCCCAGCCTGCCCTTCAACCTTGAGATCTCCTAAATAATAATCTGGTGCATCCTGCTTGGGTTATTCAGGTTCAGTCAAGATTAGCAAGAAGCTACCACTTAAAAAGAGACCAATACAAAATCGTGTCACTGTAAATCAGCAATAAGCCAGTGAAGTTTGGTGGTATGATTTTGAAAAGATGGGTTTTTTTGGGTATGGAGTGAAGGGAGTTGAATGTGATCCTATTGCTGAAGCAAAATGAGCAAATGCTTTACTTCTACAAAAAACTTACCATATCAACACTTTATATCTAATTTTTACATAAAATCAATTATGAAGAGAATCTGTTACATTTGGGGTGTTTGTTTCCCTCCTAATGGTGTCTCTAACATGTAATCAAGACTCATTTTCTTTTCATTTGAAACCATGGTTTTGAAACTTTTCTAATTGTGGATGTTGTTTTTGAAACAACTTTCTCCAGCTTGAAGTTCTCCAGAATTCTGGCACAATAACTCCCAAAATTGGGAGAAGTTGGTTTAGAATTCTTGAAAATATATTCCCTTTCACTTGAGAGTAACAACTTGAAGAAAACTACCCTGGAGTAAGAGAGAACAGGCTTATTCCATTATCTTAGAAGCGACCCTTTAAAGTATTTGAAAGTGGTTATCATATATCATACTTAGATGCTAATTTTTTCAGAATGAGTGGACTCACCTCCTTCAGACATCTTCATAGGAGTTGGTCTTCAGGGCCTCAGCAAGTTTTTCTTTTTCTTTTTTGCCTTCATCAGTATAAATTTCTTAGCTATCATTATCATAAATCTGAATATCTGGAAACTGCTACCTAGTTTGAAAAGAAATCTCCTACTCTTGCCAATGGAAGGATTCTTGAGGGGTCTTTGCTACTCTCTGAGCTTGGTTGTTTTCTTACAGATGTTTCGCTGCCCAAACTAGATAACATCATCAGTGCAAGTAGGGAGTGGGGTTTGCTCTGTCAGTTTACATTCCAGTGAGTTGCTCTGTCAGTGTTGGTGTGCATGGTGTTGGTTGGGTTGTTTATTGTTAGCTTATTTGGCAGTATTGTTTATTTCTTGATTATTGGTCTGATATTAATCTTGGAGTTAATCTATGCTCATCTGGGTGTTGATTGTTGGTGTAGAGGTGTTTTGGTCTTTTTGTTCCCTTTTTGGCTTGTTGATTGTCTCTTGTGTCTACAGCGTGTAGATATTGTTTATGTCTATGTGTCTACTGATGGTGAGTTTTGACTTTTTGAAAATCAAAAAAAAGTTTTGACAATTTAACAATCTAATTTGTCTAGAAATTCTCTAGTGATTTTGGACTTGGTTTTGTCTAGGATAGTCATAGCTTCCCAGTGAAAACTATGGTTAGGTCTGTCCATAAGTTGTGAAATTAAATAGTTTTCATCATGTTTTCTGACTGCTAATTTATGTTCATGGATGTGTTCTGCCAAACTTATGCCTATTTGTCCTACATAGTGGCTATCGCAGTCATTACACTGTACGGTATGTTGTAAACACCTCCTGCTTTTTCTTCTGGGGCTGCTGGATTACTTAAGTCTTTTGAAGACAAAAGGATAATTTTTCTATTCTAATTTCTATTTCTAAGGGTTTAGTTGGTTTGTGTGCTAAGCTGATTCCATGTGGTTGTAATAGTCTGTTTGTGGTTTTTGAGATGTTTTTGATATATGTTTGGAGTCTTTCCAAAGCTATAGCATGATCAGAAGTGTGACGTGGGGAAAGGGAAAAGGTTATAGCTCCCTGGTCCACATTAGATTTCACACTTTTAATTTTTTTAAAAAAGGTCATCCATGCAATGATATATGCCCAAACCTGAGCTAACCTAAATGGCCAAATGTAGAAAATTGCGATAGCAGATGTTAAAGTAAAATAATATCACAGTGCATAATATCTTGTTCCTGTAAATAAACCTTCTTAATTTGGAGAATCTCATTAGCAATGTGTTGAAAGAACACTCAGGCATCTTAATATAGCAATAGTGCTGAATGTTATAGCCGCAATTAAATTAACTCTGCTCCTGGCTATCTCACACAAGGAGGTTTCTATCAGCTGCCTTTTTCTATTACATGAACATTATATCTGTTAACATACGTGGAAGCACGTCAGTTATACTGATGCAAAATCTGAGGAGCAATCTATCTCGAATAAACATACGTATTGTTACAGAAAACTCCATGTCATTAGTGGAGATTCCAAACATTGTGTCTTGAACATATGGAGCCTTTTGGCCCTTCAGTCTCTCAGGCCCTCCTGCCATCTAACTTGTTGTTAAGTGCCTTGGTGCAATTGCTCATGTTTTCTGGTATATGGAGAAATTGACCTGAATGGAAGAGTTTTGGGGAAGAGGGAAGGGGAACCTGTCTTTATCCGGTGATATGTTTGGAGCTATTATGAAGGCATTGCAGCCTATGGAAAATGTAAGAGTTTCCAAACCTGATCTAAGAAAAATACTTCTGAATCAAGCCAAGATATATAAAGCCTAAGAAAAATACTTCTGACAAACTTTATATATATATATATGTTCAATGATGCAATCTTCGATCTCCAGGAAGAGTATACTCCAGTTATTTATTGTTAAAACAACATTTAAAACAATAAAAAGACTCTGAGGACGCTGGCAGAGGACCAGCGAAAGCTAAGTTGTTTTAATCTTGTAT